TTGGCCTCATTCTGCACACCAAGCCTACTGCCAAGACTCACCAGGCCGTCTGGCATACACAAGCCCTGAATTTAACACAAATTGTTCTTTTCACAGTTCCTGCCTGAGCTCGCCGACGCGGAGCCTCTGCGGGCTCTGGCACTGATCCAGTGCTAGCAGATGCAGCAGTCGGCTCCACATGCGGACTCGGATGGCTCGGCACCTGCAATGGAGTGCTCCCCAAAATGTGGTTCAGCATAAGCTAAGCCAAGCCTTTGCACCAATAATCAGCACCCTATACTATTTAAGGTGATGTCAGAAAAGCGGCAACAATTAGCCATTTCTGAAATCGTCTGGGCCTCGTCATTCGGGTGAGGATAGGATGGTGGAGGCAATGGCGGTGGTGGCAATGGAGCCATCTGTGCCGCTCGTCTTGCTGATGGGCGTGTGGTCTCCTCCGTGATCTCCGTCACCCTTGGCCCCGCCCCGTAGTGTGGCTCATCGAAGACCTCCGTCACCGTTGGCCCCGCCCTGTAGTGTGGCAGTGGCTCATCGAAGACCTCTGTCACCGTCGGCCCCGGTCCGTAGTTGTACTGTGGCTCCTCGTCGAAGACCTCTGTCACTGTCGGCCCGGCTCCACCCCACCACACGGAGCCTGCTCCGCCCCAGCAGCCTTTACCTTCCCAGGACCTTGGGTCCCATTTTCCAGCTGCAGACTTTCCGCCCTTCCATGACAAGTCCAACTCGTGGTGCTCCGAGGGCTTTCCGGCTGCGGACTTTCCGCCACCCTTCCAGGACCAGTCCAAGTAGTGCTCTGATGGCTTTCCACCCGCGGACTTTCCGCCGCCCTTCCAGGACCAGTCCATCAACTCGTAGCTGTAATGCTCTGGCACACCCTTGGACTTTCCGCCCTTCCAAGACCCGTCAGACTCATATGCCCAAGCTGCAGTGTGCTCAGCCGGCTGCCTCCCCACCGGTAGGGGCCGTTGGCCTAGGCTCGCCTCTGTCACCACATGGCTGACACCCAAGAGGTTCCGCACCTGCAGGGACATGTCAGAAAGTGACCTTCTTCTATAGATTCTTCAGATGTTCAGCTTCCTTCTGGGGTCTGGGCTAAGAACCTCCATGTTACAAGAAGCCTGTACCTGTCACCCAAATGATGCCCTTTTGTGCAGAGACCCCTTCCCGGCCTCTCTGCGCAGATGCCAGTTGCTTGTGGACCCCAGAGCATCCCGGTCCCGGCCCCTGGATCGGCTCCTGGTCCTGCTCCTGCTGTCGCCGCGCCTCCTTCGTCGCCTGTCACGCGACCGCGAGCGACTTCTGTCTGTGGCAGCCCTGAGGAGAGCTTCCAGCACTCGGCGAGAAGACATGGCAGAGTTCGAGAACCGAGCTTTAAAGTCTATGACTTGCTCTGTTGCTCTCAAGTCCTTGTCAGTAATTAGTGCACCGGAGATCTTTTGCCTATGCCACACACAGCAAGGAATGTCCTATGCCACAGGCAGCAAGGAATGTATGCGAACCATAACCGCAGCATGCACATGTCCAACACAAAGCTGCTTCCTGCAACGAGCTCTCTGTGACCCTGCAACGAACAACAGCTGCACATTGCTTCAGAATGGGTTTTCCGGAGCTAAAGCAAGAACAACATAAAGTCATACAACATAAGAGGATGCCAAGAACATGAATTTGATACTAGCTCTGCCTAGACTTAGAGCAGCATAATAAGCCATCCCAACTTCTGCTCTCAGCCCCCGACTGAAGGACGGCCCAGCACAGCTGCGCCCAGAACAGCTCGAGCCCAGGCAGAAGGAAAGTTGGAGTGTAAGTGCTGCTAGTGTGAGATCACATAGTAGGCGTCTGAGAAAGAAGGCAGGACCGAGTGCAACACAATATAATATCACAAAATGACATGCCTGTGCTGTTTTCCTTGGGACTTGTCCTGTGCCAGGACCACATTTCATCTCCATCACCTGGCAGTGCGAGAACAAAGATGCTGCCCTCACCAATCCGAGGCTGCCGAACATAGTGAACTCACAGAGGTCAGCAGTTTGCTTGGTCTGCACCGACAAATGTTGAGTGGCTAGATAATCAAACTCCTGCTATCAAGAGGCACCTGCTCTGGCAAAAGCTGCTCGGGCTGTCTGCCACCGACGAACCTCCCCTTGGGACCTCATGCAAGAAACATCTTTGCTGCATCTCGCAATCATCCTAGCTCAAGCTGTGCTGTAGCACTCGAAGATCCTTCAACATGCCATGTCCCAAAAAGAAGACTGTGCCGGCCAGCGCAGGGCCCAAGCAGAAGAAGACTCAGAAGGCTACAGTTGCACTGTACGCACGAACCAGCTCAAAGACCAATGCTGACAGCGATCTTGTGCTGAGAGAAGATTGCTTGCTAGGGCCCTTCGGTTGTGGTCTCTTTTCCTCGTCTTGTGAAGTTTGCTGCGGTTCCAAGAAAAAGCCCTCTTCTTAATAGTGCGAGAGAATTATCGGCTTTCACATCTGGCCGTGTCTGACACAAGTAAAAGGGCTTCACCTCAGACTTCTGTCGGATGAGCGACAGAAGCATGCTGAAAATCATGCAGCCGAAGCTTTTCATCTAGGCGGAGCTGCTCATGAGCCCAAGCTAAGAAACTGAAACCGAGTATCGCTGTTATCTTTGCAGAAATTGGTACCAATTTCTGTCAACAATAACAACCTCATCAGTCTAGAATGAAACCAAGCTCTGACATCGGCTCCTGACACTTGGCCCCGGATTTGAGAAGGACTTGGTACCAAGTACTGCTCAAATCCTACCTCATTGCTCCTGTTCGCCTGAAGTAGTACGAACTAGGGAATTATTGTCCGATTCATGAAATAAAACCCGACACCCAGATTCCCCGATGAAACCCAGGATGAAACCCACCACCCAAAAGCCGGCAGCACCACAAACTCACACAGTAATCCGAAGTCCTGAGCTTTCAAGGACAGTGCACCTCGCCAGTTCCAGGCAGCCAGAGCAGCTCTCGTCAAAGCAGGAGTGTCCTGCAAAGGCATGGCACAGGTGCAGGAATGTATCAGTGGGGCTGCCCCACTGACCTCCCGGAAGAAGCTCTTGAAGCTACTTACAACAGCCTCAGAAGTCTACTGCGAGAGCGCAAGAGCCATCGCCAGGAACATGTCATGTAATACAACCTTTCTATTGGTTCTTGGGTTCGTATTTTCGGAACTAACTGTCCGTGCACCTCTGTTGAGCCCTGTCAAGCTAGACTTAGAGGAGTTCGGAGATCGGGGAGCAGATCCACGACATGGCAGAGAAGAAGGGTGTGAAAATCGTGTGCCAGGACTTGCCCGGGTTGTTCATACACAACGCAAGCCCCATGGAGAAGTTCACCCGGAAGCTTGTGCTCTCACTTTTTGAGCTGGAACGAGACATCCTTGTCAATCGCCTTTACTCGGGACTCTGTGCGAAGCGTGCCACCAGCAGCAGACTCAATCAATGTGGGTCACCCAAGGCCAATGGACGCAAGTCCATCCTGGAGAAACTCAAACCCAGCAAGAAAGTGGTGGCTCGCCTGAAGTCCCTTCTCAAGCAGCGCGAGAAAGGCAGCTATGGGTGGCGTCCTCTGGCCGTGAAGTTCGCAGCTGCATTGGGCTTCAAGAGGAAGAAGACCTTGAGTGTCCAAACCGTGAGGCGCATGTCGAAGGAACTCAGCCACATGTAGTGCTAACATGCTTGCCCCCAGGCCCCTGTCCTGGCGAAAGCCCCGAAGCATTTAAGGAGGATGCTAGCATGTTCTTAAATGTTAGAAGGCTAAGGCCCTCTGCCAGGGCTCGGGTGGAAAGGGCAAGTTCAACTTCTCAGGTTTGTATGCTTTCTGGCATGTGCACATCGTCTAATTTACTCCCAGTATGTTCGAAGCACGACAGTCATGGCCGCAAATAAAGGCTATGACATGTTGCTGCAGGCCAGACTCGCAGCAGCTAATGTACCCAGACAGGCACTGGAAGTGCAGAAAGAACCGGGCTCTTGTTGCCTTGCCTTGTCTAGTGTTTCGGCTACAGAAAGAAAAGCAGCTCAACTTTCGGCCGACCACAGCTGATAAGAACCACCCTCAACCGTGGGGCTCACACCATGGCTCGATGCTCACGTCTGACGGAGAAGTTAAGCACAAATGTGTGACAGGTGTCAGGGAAGGTAATCTGCATGTGCTGGGTGTGCTGTGAATGCATTATTAGTTGCTTTGTTGGTTTGTTTTGGGGCTATGCATGTGCAGCCAGAATATTAGCTAAGCCTGTCCTTCACAGGGTGGGGTGGACTGCGATGTGGGCAGGGGATTTCAACATAATTAACAGGGGGTCGTAAACCTAAGTTTTCGAACCCCCACCCATGATTTCGAGACGCCCAGGCGTTTTTCGAGACACAATGCAGCCACCCTCCCTTCCCCACATTCTACTGCAGAGGAGTTGCCGCAAATCATGGACATCCAGAAGGCTTGCCTGCATCAAAGGTGGGTAGTAGGCTGTCAGTTAAGCTTTCTGGTGCTGTGATAGCGCATGGTGCATGTTATTTGCTGTCGGAAAGAAATCACACCTCAGCTAAGCATTCTGGCGCTGTGATAGCGCATGGTGCATCTTATTTTCTGTCGGAAAGACATCAGGCGCTGTGAAAGCGCACACACACACACACACGTGAAGATGCAGCGACTATATCGAAGTAGAAAAGACACTGATTCAACCGGCAGGCCAGCCTTCAATGAAAGCCGAAGATCAGAGTGCTCAGGCCTCAGAGTGCATAGTTTTGTCAAGAAAGGTGCATCACTGAAGTGGATTCTGTTGGCGCAACAACATGCAGCAAGCGCTGTCCTGTGCTGCACACCAAAGGCTCAAGAAGGTTTCTGAGTTCATGAACTACAAAGATCATGGCAGCTTCATCGAGCGGTGAGGTTCTTGGGCCCTTGTCATCGATGGTCAACTATATGCAGAAGTTTAAATCCATCACAGTTGCACATAGGAACAAGTAGCCTCGCCCTCGCTGACAAGCCATGTCCGGACGCGGGCAAGCCGGGTCGTCGAGCTGGGAGTATGGGTCGAGCTGGGACGGTTGGGACTACGGCTATGGTGGCTCCTGGGATGAAGGTGAGGAGCAAGGAGAAGAAGTGGGAAAGGGTAAAGGTGGTGGAAGGAGGACGACGGTGCAGGCAAAGGGCAGGCAGGGCGGGATGGCCCTGCGTGCCAGGTTCGAGGACGGAACCCAGGAGAGGACACGGACCCAGGCTGAGCGTGAGGCGATCAGGGCTCCGCTTTTGAGAGACATAAAGGATCTCAAAGCACGGCTGGCGACGGCTCAGTCCGAAGGGGATCATGCGGTCCGCGAGCTGACTCTGTGCCAGGCAGGGCCGGGCAGGGAAATCCTATCATTCGCGGTCCCCAGAGCAAACCTTATCTTGGGCAGGGCTTCAACAAAGACTACAAGCAGAGGGCCGAGATGGCGGAGGCCACTAGTTTGTGTTGGTGTTGTGCAAGTGAAACTTGTGTCCAATGCCTTGCTTGTTTCCAGGGCCGACTGCGCCAAGCGAATCTGGACCTCATGGCGGCCAAGGCGGCAGAGGAGGCCTTTACTGCCCGGTTTCCACACAGTTTGAAGCTCATTCAGTTTGTGGTTCCTTCCAGGTCCTTGAAACTTCGAAAGCCGACTATAAAAAGCAGCTTGAGGCATGGTAGCCGTTCACAATCACAGGCCATTCTTCCTGCAAGCCCTTTTCTGAGGATTGCAAAACGATGGTCACAAGCCTGGAGGCGATTAGGGGTTCGTTGTTGGCAAGTTGTGCACTGCAGAAGTGTCACAGTGTCCACAGGCTTCCCTGACGGCGAAAGAGAAGGAACTCCATGCAGCCCAGGAAAGCATTCCGGGTCCATACAATCTACCGTATGTTGGAGAATTTCATTTTGACAGGCGTGCAGTGACGAAAAGGACAAAGAGCTGAAGGAAGCCCAGGCGGGTCAAGACAAAGTGAATGCAATGCAGAAGTGTCACAGTGTCCACATTCTTCCCTGAAGGCGAAAGAGAAGGAACTCCGTGCAGCCCAGGAAAGCATTCCGGGTCCATACAATCTACCGTATGTTGAAGAATTTCATTTTGACAGGCGTGCATCGACGAAAAAGACAAAGAGCTCAAGGAAGCCCAGGCGGGTCAAGACAAAGTGAATGCAATCTAGCATATGTTGCAGAACTGTCACAGGCAGCGCTGCAGCAGAAGGACAAAGATCTCCGTGCAATCCAGGCAAGCAGTGAACACGATCTTGCTTTCACAGTTACTGTGATGTGCTGCTAGGAGAACAAGGCCAAGTGGAAACTCGAAGCACATGCCATGAAGCATGCTAGGAAGGCCGGATTTATTGTTAGTTAGTGAGTTGGACTGCTTCGTTCACTTTGCTATGTCAGGAAGTTGCACGCATGGTGGAAAACGACATGCTGGTGCGGTGCAACACTCTGCTGGCCCGGAAGGCCGAGCAACATGACTGATTGGGGCTCCGACAGCTTTTGCATCTGGCAGGATGATGAGATTCAAGTCCTCCAGCATGAGATCAAAGAATCGCAGGCCCCAGACACACATCAGGAAATTGCACAATGTTTGCTTTTGCATTACCGACTGCTCAACTCAGACTTCACTGCCAGGCTTTGGTCTCAGACGCTTTGAAAGTTCTTTCCAATGCCAAGGAGATGAAGACTGAGGCTCCATACATTCTACTCCCACTCCATAGTAGCTTATGTGCCTTGCAACAACCTGATCTGTAGGCAGCAGAGGCAGAGGAGCCATCACCCACGTCACCGGCAAATGCAGTGGCCCCACTCAAGTTGCCATTGGGTATCAGTCCTACTTCATTGCTCACCCTCAGGCCTCCGAGCGATCCGCGACCACCGAAGTGGCGGCTGCCTGAATCAGAAAGCTCAGACAGACTGGATGTCTAGATGGTGCCTGCCCAGGTGTCGAGACAGAGTGACTCAGAGTCGTCATCAGATGCAGGAGACTCAGAAGCATACATGAAGATCAAGTCAGTGGTGTATGTTATGTTGCAACAAGGTCCGATCAAAACGAAAGCGCTCTGAGTCAGACTCACAGTGACGGGCAGGGACCCTAGCACATGCACCCAGCACACATGTAAGTTCAGCTTAAAGCAAAAGCTTCAACAGTTGGGGGTTAAGCTGGAGTGGGTGTACTGCAAATCAAGGCCATGACGAAGTTGTCACTGCCAGTGCAGGGACCTCAGTAGTTCTCGCACTACACTGACTGAACCACAAGTCGCTCGGGAGTGGGATTCTGAGGTCTGATGTTTTGCGGGCGGGCTAGATGTGATGGCGACGAAGACTTCTGCTGCCGGCTGGAAAAGTGAAACAAGCACGGTCAGTGAGATCGAGATTGTGTATGTGTGTGCCCACCTGCTGCTAGCAACAATGAATTACTCAGCTTTGCATGTGCTGACAGCTGCGGTTGCCGAGGTCCCAACAGTTCATCGAGATCTGGCCTGGGCTCCGGCATGAATCTGCAGTCATGGTCCTGGTAAACTCTGCTTCAGAACCACTGGCATGTCCGACACATGACTGTGGAACATCATGCTGTGTTGCCAAGTTCAAATTCTGGAATGGTTCTATCCTAACTTCCTATCGAAACTGCTGCATCCGAGGTCGGGGCTCTGCACTGCTGACCGTGCTCATGCTGGCATAGCCTCAAAAGAAAAAATGCTTGCTGTGTGTGGCGGAGTGAAGAGGGAAGAAGAAGTGCGAGGGAGGGGGGGGAGGGAGGGGGGCAGGGAGAGGGCGGGGAGGAGGGGGGGGGGGGGGGGGGGGGGGGGGGGGGGGGGGGGGGGGGGGGGGGGGGGGGGGGGGGGGGGGGGGGGGGGGGGGGGGGGGGGGGGGAGGAAGGGTTTCTTGGAAGTTTGTGCTATCACAGCACCTCTAAATATTTGCGCTATCACAGCGCCTGAATTGATGTGTGCACTGTCCCAGTGCCTTCTTCAATTCTGCGCTATCACAGCGCCTGAGTTGATGTGTGCGCTGTCCCAGCGCCTTCTTAGAGTCTTCTGTGCTATCACAGCACCTGTTGATGTGTCTGTGTGCACTATCCCAGTGCCTCTATGATTCTGTGCTGTCCCAGCCCTCCCGGCCTTCTTCCAGAAGGATCTCGTCACCGAGCTTGCCTGCAAGGCCCTGAAAGGATGCCTGTGGTAGACTTTAAAGTGTAGTACTCGGGTCTAGGCTAGGGTTTCTACTGTCAAGTTTAGGGCAATTTAGGGCTTCTCGGTGGTTTCAGATGGGAAGTTGAGGTGGGCCCGGGAAGATTTATGAATAGCGGGTTGAGGTTTATTCATTAATCTTGATGATAACCATAAAAGACTCAGCTGACGGCCCTTGATATGAGCAAGTCTGTGGGGATAGCCAAGATGCCGTGAGAATCCTACCAAGACGATCGGCTGAGAGCTCCACTTTTTACAAGCCTGCAGTAACTGGCATTCCAAGCTGAATTTCATGGTGTCTGTGTGACCAACAGGACAAAGATTCAGGCATGGTTGTGTTGTTTTCGAAATGTCGGGTTCCAGCTGTTCGCCTACACCCACCCATGTGCCAGGTGTGTTTGCATGCATGTAGTATGTGTATTAATATATATATATATACATATATATATATATGTATATATATAAGCTTGTCAGCATGTTCTCTCCTCGGCCCACACATGCCCAAAAAACTCTGGGCATCAGGCTCTTGGTTCCTTTCAACCACCTCTGAAATTTGCCAACGATTCTTGCAAAACACAGTGGCAATAACGACCAGAAGCAGGCCGAACCTAAGATTTACGATTTCCCATTCTTACTTGGTACCAAGTAAGAATGTAAAATCTTATGCACACATATCTGAGGACTACATGTGTGAAAGCAATGAGAGAGATAGACTGGAAATCGAGGTTTTGAGCTTCTCGGTGGTGTTCCACTCTTACTGGGTACCAAGTAAGAGTGTACAATCTTCATTTTTGTAGAGGACTACATGATCAAGTACCGAAAAAAACAAACTATCACTTGCTATTGGCCAAACTATCGGTTGTAATGACTGTTCCTTCATTATCCTGACGTGAATGCACTTGGCACGCTGGCCCTGCTGTGAGTCAGCCACTTGATCGCAGCAGATCCATCCTTCTGGCTAGGCATCTGGAGACTTCCACAGCGAGTTCGCGAATTGCTTAATTTGCGGTATCATGTTGTGCGATGTCTTGCATTAAAACTAAAGCTCTTCCACACCGATCAACGACAGACCAGATATTGATGCATATGTGTATATGCGTATAGAAACATAAGTATAAATAAATGTGTGTGTGTATATATATATATATGTATATATAAAGTATACATACTATGTAGTCACACCACCACCACCACCACCACCACCACAACCACCACCCCTCCGATGATCCATACCAGCCTTCTCGCTGACTTATTCCACCATCTTCCGTCTCTGCTTGTTGTTCCCCAAGTATAAAAGCCCGCTGTGTTTGCGGTGCTTTCTCCACGCCGTTAGTTGTCGCTACTTGTGTTACTGATCTGTGTGATGTGAAAGCCACCTGAGCCCTCAAATGGATTCCGTTTGCCGCTCCGTGTCTCGTGCCTTCCGCTTGTTTCTCGACAGTGTCGAGAACCCAACACTCTCACTAAAGAAGACACCAGAAAGCTCTTCTTGCAGCCGTAAACCACCGTCCATCACAGAGAAGCATAAGAAATTTCCTGCATCTATCAGTTGCCACGAACGAAAGACTTCCCAAATTCCGCCAATGACTGTGCAGGACTTTGTTTTCCTATCCTTGTAAGAAACATAAACGTGTATATCGGTTTGTGGTGCGTCAAAAGGGTACCTCCATCATCTTTTAAATTCATTTGATCATCATTTAAAGTTTGTCGAACTTTTCGCGTTTTACACTTTGAATAGACACAGCTGCTCGTCTTGTCATGCCACCAGGGAGTAAGAAGACTCCTTCAATGGAAACAGACATGACGATGGTATGTGTGGCTTGCTCGTAACAAGACTAAACAGAGGCATTATCCATGTGCATAAAACTAAAGAAAAAGCTTTGGCTCCTTATTTTAAATGGCCACCAGTTTGCTATGTTCCTTCATAGTTTGCAAAAGTACTCTGGGTTCAGAACATTCATAATTGGGATCGGTGGCTTTCACTACTAGCAATGAGTAACAAAGCTCCCGCCATCCCAACGCAACATAAGAATAGCCTTTTTCTTTTCGTCATGGCCTCATAGCGGAGTTGAAAACCTTTCTAGTACTGGCGAAAGCCACAAACTAATCAGTTGATGTACATCTTGTACACAATTGATCCCAATTAGAGATGTGACTTTGTTCGACGAAACACAACGTTAGTACCGTTGGTAACTGAACCATTTGAAGACTGCAGTGGCAACCGGCGCATGTGTTTCTTTCGCAGAAGGTAGAAACGAGGATATCAGCCTATCTGCTGGCTCACAAGCTGTCGATCTTCCGTCCCTCAACATTGAGAAAGCTAAAGAGCCACGTTCCCGTCGTGAGAACAGGTTAAACAGCTTCTTCACAAAATAGTCGTTTGACTTCAAATCCTTTCTAGAGACTGCTGAGTTGATTCCTCATTGAGGAGATGTCTTGCAAAAGATGTAGACCCCCGCCTGTTGCTTGAGCAGACATGAAAAACGGACGTCTCACAGTTCGTTTTCATGAAGCAACCGCACTATACCAGGATTTTTCGTTTTCTCATGATGGGGACGTGGCTCTTTATGTATGAACAGAGATAAGTGAAGGACTTGTCAGAATTCATCATTATTCATGAACCAATTTACTAACTATACCATACTATGTAAATTCATCCACACATTCAGATTCAGCCTGCATCCTGCCAACGCAGCCTCTCCACAGCCTAGTCTGGCTGCGGACGAAGCATGGGAATTTTGGTGAAGTTCGAGCCTGGCGATGTTTTCGCATTTCCGGCTGTACAAATGTTTGCAAAGGTCGAGCCTTGCCATGTTTTCGCAACCCGTAAATACCCTCAACGCCTTGATCCGCTCCTTCCAAAGGAAGCGGCTATGGATCATGGTGCGGAGCATATGCATATATATATGTAACACACAAACATGTACTTACATATACACACACGTTTTTATATATTGAGATAGACATTGATGTAGGTTTAGAGAGAGAGAGAGAGAGAGAGAGAGAGAGAGAGACAGAAGCGCGCGGTGTAGGGGTCAAACCCCTACACCCTAGCCCTGGCGAAAGAAAGAAAGAGAGACATACAGAGAATTGAACAAATAATGTATATCTGTTATATATGCATAGGAAAAACCGAAATGTATTTACATATATTTATTTGTGCTTAAGCCCATGAGCTTCAAGTTGGGACTACACGCACGTATTCTTTCTCAGATATGGAAGGGCCATGCTCCTCGAGGCTCCTGCGACTTATGCTGGGTCGGAGCCGGTAGCTGCGACTCTTGTGCTGCA